GTTATTTGATTTCTCTTGTGTGTTGTTAGGTTTGGTTTGGTTTTGTGTGTGGTTAGGTAGCACAGGATAGAAAGTTTATTGGTTGTTTTGAACATTTTTGTGATGTTGTACTTGTTTCCTATCTTTTTTAATTTTTCTTATAAGCCCTTTACACCTGGTATTATTGTCATCCTTGAGTCCTTTCTTGTGAATGTTTATGGGTTGACTGTTATGTTTTGTGTTTTTTTTTCTTCTTCTTGAAAAGCCTAATTAGAGCAGGTGTTTTGGGCCCTATCATATAATGATTTGCTGATTATTTTTTTGATGTTTATGTTGTGGTTTAAGTGGTAGTTTAAATATCTGTTGGTGTGGGTTGGTTTTCTGTAAACTTTGGATACATGTTCTTTATCCTCTTTTGTGAATAGCACATCCAAAAAAGGAAGTGAATTATTGTTTTCTTAAAAAAAAACAAAGAACTGTCACTGAATATTGTTGTACATTCTTTTGTTGTCCTTTAATTTTCTTTTTTCTTCCATGAGTTGTAGTATATTGTCATTCATACAAATATTTCTCGTCCATTAAGTAGATGTTCTTCTCTGATCCTCTAAAAGAATTCATATATATTCTGGAGTGATTCTTCTACATTATAAGTTTGCTACATGTTCAAAATAAGTTTCACAGTACTTGTTTAAATCAAAACACCAATATTTTTTCTATTCCTAGTTTAACCAAACTCTTGCCATAATTCGGAGGTATGTAAGGCAATAAATAAAATACATATAAAAGTAATATAGGGAAACATTCTAAATATGAAAAATGCCTAGTTCATGCCTAGAATATTTAAAATATTCAAAATATGAGCTTATAGTCCAAAATAATAAAGACAAGTTATAGGTAGGTAAGGTAGGTAGGTATACATTACTCTAAGGGTGGCAAACATCCTTAAAAGAAGCCAAAGACATAGACATTTTAAATTAATTCTTCTTCTTAAAGATTATGGAAAATTAATATTGTATTAGTTATCAAAAACAACAATTTGGAGGTTCGATTCCCAGCACAGACAGCAGAAATTTTTTTATTTTGAATTTAACTGAGCTGTCACCATATTTCAGACAGCATGTAAAACCTTTGGTCCCAGGTAAAACTTAAGGCAGGAGGTTACATAAATGGAAGATATACAATAAGCCAATTGGCTGCAGTACCACCAGTTATAACAACAAATGGCTTAAGAAAAAAAAGCAACATAAGGAATCTCACTAAATAGTAAAACAAAATCGCTAAAATCCCAAAAAGTATCTTCTTTGGTTGGGTATTCTTATTACACTATTTGAGCCATCGTATTATACTCATGGATCAAAAACGATTATTTCAAGAAAAACTACTATTTGTAGAGAGAATAAAAATGAACTATGAGCTGGATGAATTATTGCAGAGCACAGATAGTATCGTTAGATTTGTAAATTCACAAAGGCTTAAGTAATTGGCTTGGCCACTTAGAAAGAATGCCAGATAATTAATTGTAAAAGTAATCCAAAGATGGAATTAGACCAGATAAAGGCCACATATTAGGTGGATAGATGATGTAGAGGAAGATCTTAAAACCATGAACATCAGGCAGTGGTGAAGGAAAGTATCTGACAGGGCGCAAGACCCACGAAGGGTTTGCAGCGCTATTAGAAGAAGATATATACATAAAATATTATGTCTAAGCATATTTAGATACCTTCATAGCATATGCAGGAGAACTATTGGTCAGAAATGTAATAAAAAGAAAGATACAAGGTGAATCACAACCTTCATCATATGGTTAGTCAATTTTCAGTATTTCTCCAAATTGGTGTATAAGCTTAAATTAATTCCGAGCACAGAGTCTGAATCAAATTCTAAATCCAGTAATGAAATTTACAACATAATGAGTGAAATTGTATTAAAAGTAATCTAGAACGCAAGGTTCTCATCTATATCTAATTAAAATACATGTGATAGTACTCTATAAAAATTCCAAGTCTGTTAATTGTTTTCCATCAGATTTATCAAATGAATTTTGTGAAAATTAAGTGAACTAAAGTTCACATATATTAAAAAACAAGCAAAGTATTAAAGAACTCCTATCGCTACATCAGTGTATATAAATATTGGCGATTTTCAGGTCAACCAGGTCAGTCCCTCACTGGCTCTCCAAGAGCTTAGTGCTCTTGGGGCTCTCCTTTCTTTTTAGCTTTTTCCCATACTCTGTGGTTGAGTAATTATTCAACTGAATATTTTATGTTTTATTTCGACTATAATTAGTCATGTAAGAAATATCTTACCTTTTTCAAGGCAAGTCATTGAAGACGATGAACCTGATGGATTATTTCGACAACTTCTTCGTGTAAGAGTTTTGTCATGTAAGAAATAGCTCGTCTTTTTCAAGATGAGCCATCAGAAGAGAACATTTTACGAATCCATACCCTGTAAATGAATTTAAGTAGAGGAGCTTTTGTCGACGTTTCTGAAGCCCTCTACAGAGCACACGAAGGTATCAGAAGGTGTTAGACCCCTATTTGTTCCCCGGAGGTGACTCCTCTGTAGTACAACGCTGCGTCAGTTTCTGCTTACAAGCGAAGCATTAACATCTCCAGAAGATGTCAACCCCTAGTGCTGGCGAAACATCGAGAACTAATCTCAGAAGACAATGGTCAAACAGCCCGAACAAATAGTTTAATAAGTTACAATGAGTGCAATTTAGTACAATTAATGTAGAAGTGATACACAAGGTGTTTCATTTAACTAATAATTGGATGACAGTAATCTAAACAAAAATGTGAATGTTTTTTTCTCAGATTAATCAAAGTCTATCAAAATTTGGTACATGAAGTTCACATACATCCAAAAACAAGCAAAGTACCTATTAAAAAACTAACTATTTAGGTACACTTTTATAATGTTCCATCATATGATCTAATTATGGCTGGTCATAAGCTGCATATTTTAAATTGAATATAAAAAACATAGATAACTATACATAAACTATATAAGTATTATTTATAACTTATTTTTTTAAAGTATCTTAGATGTAGAAATTTTGTTAAGTAATGTTTCAGAATTTGTTTATCTTGTGAATATGAAAATATTCTAAGCAGTTAAACTTCTCAAATTTATATGTAGATACATTTTTATATTTTCATTGCACACAATTAAGATTATTTTGTTTATTATTTGACACTTTTTTCAGAAATATAACCCCCCAACATTATATAATAGGAACAGAAACACATGATACTTTCAATGTCAAAATGAAGTAGGGTCAAATTTATAGATAAAGTTTGATGAAACTGTTGTCCATTCAAATCTAAACAAAAATTAACTCTTTCCCACAACAAGTAAAATGTGCACATTTCTACTGAGTGTTTGATCTTTACACTTTTCTATGAAATAGGTGATTTTTGAGTTTCTTCAGATTATGAATTGGTGAATGAAATATGTTATAGAGTACCATACAAAAATATTGCATGTTTAAATCTTAATACCTAGTTGAAGATGGTATTTCACTGTTCCTGCTTATTATTTTACTATCAAAAAGTCTAAAATATTGAATAGTTTCTCTGATTGTGTGTTCTTGGATGATAAGTAATAAAATCAAGTACCACCAACCTCTTTGATATTCAATAATTTCAACTGTAATCTGAAAACTGAACCTAATTCCTCTATTTGTATCTAATTTGCACATTATTTATCAAAATAAGTTTACAGTGTAAACTTGTTTTGATATTTTTTTCTTTTTACTGTATTGAATGCCATTTTTACTTAAGTAAGTTAAATAATTTCAGAGCCTACTCTAATTACAATTTTTTTTCTATGGCTCTATTCCACACAATATTTCATTTTTTGAAAAATATGTTTCCTAACAATGCACTGTCTAGTTTAAGGGTTTTTTTTATTGTTTAAAATATTTTTGGTAATAGTAATTAATATTGGTATATATTTGAAACTCAAGCATATATTCCATGACTCCTGTAAAGGTTTTGGTCACTGTTATTAAAATTAGGAAAATATCAGCCAAGCTGCCAATCTATAAATCACATTTACTTAAAGACAGGAAGAAATAGTCTTTATTGACTGTTCTAAAAAATTAATAAGCATAAGCAATTTATAGACAACAAATATTGAGAGATTCAAAACAATAATGCATTACTAAGTAGGTAGAACTTGGTATGACTGTGGCATAATCTTCCACCCACCCTATATTTCAATTCATGGTATAACCTTGATATTTTGCAATATTTTAAAGGTAAACAATATAAACAAAAACACATTTATAAAAAAGGAAGTAGTAATTATATCCCAATTTTGTATGGTTTCCAATTCCTTTGATGAATAGAGAGGAATGCATTATTCTTAAATACACATACCTACATAATGGAGGTACTATTACTATATTAATATTTGTGGGCATCTACCTACTTGAAAATATAGATTTTTTATAATGATTCAATTTAACCATTGTGGAAGGTTTAAAAATTTAAACTAGGATCCCTATTTACAATGAAAATACTTTGGTGTCTAATTTTTTCTAGCAATAATGAAAATTATTTGCAATAAACTAATAAGAGGCTTACCTCATGTTTGCGTCCATAAGGTATTAATATTTTTAAAAAAGTCACTACCATTTTAGCTGTGAAGTAGGAACTAGGACAGTGATAATTAACTATAATGTAACTAGATAGTTAAGTACCTTCATCATTGGCACTAACCTAGAAATGTATGATATCCACCATATAACTGTAAATTACCCACTTAATGAAAATAGTCAAGTATTTCAGGACACAGGCAAAACCATAATACTTTTAGAAATATATGAATCACTGAACGGCGAATACCTGCATTTTATGCATATATACTTTGCTATCTAGATGTCAACCTACCAAAACATGGAATTAATTAACTGTACATGATAAATAAGTAGGTATTTGCGACAAAATATAAATGTAGAATGTGTTTTATGTATTAAAATTAATTTTAAAAATATGAATATTACTCACGCTTTCGCTCTGAGATGATCGCTTTTGTCGAGGCACACAAAATAACGTCACTTTAAAGCCTTTTGTTTCCTTTTGCTAGGTACTTCTATTCTCAAATTAAGTACCTTCGTTAGAGTTTACTAACAAACACAATATTCAACTTTGAAAACTAAACAATTATTAACACTAAACAAAACAAAAACACTTCTATACTTGGTTCGTTTACATGTCAAAATATCAATAACAAAACCGTAAATTCAACAACCTCAACACACTACTCCATGCCACAACTATAGAACAACTAAAACATTTTTTCTTTCTTTCAGAGAAAAATATGGCTGTCATATGTCAAAATTATTTACACCAAGTTGTCATTCATAATAGTAACCATTGCGCTTTAGTTTAACTTTTTACCAGTAGATGTCAGCACGATATGTTATTGAAAAGTTTATTAGAGAGAGTACATTATCACTGAGTTCCTAGGCCGAGTTCATGAAAAATAAAATTTAAAAATGTTCATTTTTATTTCATAATGAGATTTATGTAATATTAAAATATACTGTGTATATAACATAATTAATTACTCCATGATTACTTACTTCTTATCCTTGAGTGTATCATTGGTTGTCTATAGTCAGTAGAGATATTACCTCAACTATAATAATATTAAAATAGTATTATGTAATACATAAAATAAATATAATATTATATATATATATATATATATATATATATATATATATATATATATATATATTAGTACAGACAAATAAGCATAAAAGTACTCTGTTTGTGGCACAGGCCTCTCCAGAGGGACAGTTGTTTTGAGTGGACCTTTACAACAAAAACTTATGTGTTTCCTGCAGTCGATCTTTTTTACTTAATTAGTTATTAACAAATTAGACCAAAAGAACGTTAAATTCAGCTTTTTTCGTTTATCAGCAAAAAGTGATGCATTTCAAACAAAATTTGAGAGTAAAATATATCATATAAAAACCTAAAATAGCATTTTTTAAATGTTTCTAGCCTTATTTGTGGCTTAAAGACTTGCAAAATAGGTCAGAAATTTCGTTTTTTTTTTATAAATGTTAATAATCTTTTTAAACATAAACCTAGAACCTTTATATTACATGGAATGTTGGGACTTGTGCTTAAAATATGATCAAAATTTCAAAGCGATCGTTCAACTGTTTTAAAAGCTGTTTTATTTGTTCGATTTTTCGATTTCCACTTCGGAAATTGTTTTCAAAATTCATAACACTACTAAATTAAACCAATTTTATTTTTGTTACTTGGTAAAAAAAATTCTAATAATTTAAGTATATCTGATTCACTCATACTGACAATGCAGACGTATATTATACATTTTAAAGTAGGTGACTTTAAAATTATATTGTCAATAATTTTCAATTTCGTTCCTCAGTCGACTTTATAGAAAGTTAGTTTATTTGATTATATGATCAAATAATTATATGATTATATGATAAAAAATAATCACATGCAATGATTACAGTAAAATTCCCCTGTTAGTGATTCCATAGCAAATACTCGTTACTGAAGACCGGTAAGTTCCTTTTGTTTCAATGTAAAAAAACATAAAAATAAAATTATTCGTATTATTTTTTTCGCATATAACAGCAGAAATTATTTATTTTTATTACTTTTAATAAACTTGAAGAACAAAAACTATGTTACAACCGAACAAAAACTGAAGAGAGCAAAATAATTTCTTAACAATTAGTGAAAATGCAAAATTTAAATAGTAGTTTATGGGACACTACTACTGGCGACATCTAGTTATAATTGTGACAACTGCTAACAGTAAAGTACATTCAAATGGAGTGCATTACATTTTAAGCTTTTTGATCTCTAGTTTAACTTTAAAAAATATTCAGGACACTTTAATTTATCAATTAACAGTTAAAACACTTTATCAATTTCTTTAAAAACTGTGATTTCTTTAATACAATATTGGTAAGTTACATTAATTTTCAACAGAGGTCATAATAAGTTATATACATTGTTGCCACGTTTATATGTTTCACCAATCACAAGATGTTATAAGTGTTTACGACCAATGAAAATAAGCCACACATAAAGATGTCGGGTGGTCGTGTTCTTACCATTCCAACGTGACAACAACAAATTGTCATTTGACAGCTGTTTTCTGTATTCAGTGACAAAATCCGCACTGCACATGGATATATGACGTGGTGTATCCAATTTTTGTATAAAAAAATATAAGATTTGTGAAACAAGTACGGAGTATATAATTTATTTATTGAAAGACTGAATTTCGGTAAAACTACTTTAATTTAATTATTAACTTTTTTCTGTTTTATTTCTGTGTTTATCCGGCAACCTGAAAGTTCTTAAGATACATTTTGAAAGAAGCTAATTTTTGAATAAAGGAGATATAATTTCCTAGATATTCCTATCATATTTTTTATTAGTTCGAGTGCAACCGTATGGTTTTAATTAGTTGTGGAATGAAATAAAAACTTTTATAAATAGATAATATTATTCTTAAAGTTGGGTGATTAAGTAAAGATTTTTCAGGTATAGACTGAAAAGTATGTTGAATAATTGTTATACAGTATACTTTTTCAATAACATCTAGTGTTTTACATAATTCATTTTTAAAATTTTCAGGTGGAGGATGCAGTTGTCACTTATAGCAACACTTCTGATAGTATGTTACACAGGAGTAACATTTGTGAACAGCTTAGCTGTTATGTCAGTAGATTTAGGTTCAGAATGGATGAAGGTAGGAATTGTTTCACCAGGAGTCCCTATGGAAATTGCCTTAAACAAAGAATCAAAAAGAAAAACTCCAGCAGTTATTAGCTTTAGGGACAATACAAGGCTTTTTGGTGAAGATGCCCAAACCATGGGTGTCCGTTTTCCCAAACAAACTTTCAGTTACCTTTTAGATTTATTAGGTAAGAGTATAGACCATCCATTAGTGAAACTATATCAGGAACGGTTCCCTTATTATAACATTGTTGAGGATTCTGAGAGGAAGACTGTTTTATTTCAAATAGATGAAGAAACTGCTTACAGTCCAGAAGAACTGGTTGCTCAGTTATTAGGAAAGGCTAAAGAATTTGCAGAAACCAGTGCCCAACAACCAATCAAGGAATGTGTCTTGACTGTACCTGGTTACTTTAATCAAATTGAAAGAAAGGCTCTCTTACAAGCAGCTGAATTGGCTGGACTTAAGGTACTTCAGTTGATTAACGACTACACAGCAGTTGCACTTAATTATGGAATATTCAGATCTAAGACATTTAATGATACAGCTCAATACGTTATGTTCTATGATATGGGAGCATCTTCTACAACTGCTACACTTGTTAGTTACCAGAGTGTAAAAACGAAAGACAAGCCTTATGTTGAAGTACACCCACAAGCTACAATTTTAGGAGTAGGTTTTGATAGAACGCTTGGAGGACTTGAAATGCAAGTTAGATTAAGAAACTACTTGGCTACTAAATTCAATGAGATGAAAAAGACTAATAATGATGTCTTTAAAAATGATAGAGCTATGGCTAAACTATTTAAGGAAGCTGGTAGAGTGAAAAATGTTTTATCAGCTAATGCAGAACATGCTGCACAGATTGAAGGGTTATTAGATGAAAAAGATTTCAAATTGCCAGTTAAAAGGGATGAAATGGAAGCACTTTTTGGGGTAAGTTTCTATTTATTTATTAATCATGGGTAACTGTATAAAATATAATGTACCAATAAATAATATTTTTTGTGTGTAAATGAGCAGCACATTTAAAATATTTGATAAATGTAGATCAAGGAATTACAACCAACATAAAACAAAAATAATATTTTAAAGTTAATTTTCTTTAAGTTTCTTTTAAAGAAATTTTCTCTATTGCTACTCACAAAAATATAGATTTTCTATTTCTACTATTTCCAGTTTTGTAACATCTTAAGTCTTCTGGCAGAAATTCCATGACTAAGTGCTGAGGCTGACTCAATAGGGATGTTGACTATATTAAAATAAAAATATGATTTTCCCGCAAAACGGTACTTCCCGTAATAGAAAAGCTAAAAACACAATATCTTTCATTATTTTAAAGTAATTTAATTTTTATTTAATAATAAAAATATTCTGAAGTCACGTGATAACGAACACCAATCAAAATGCGTGACGTCACGGGTTGCGATCATTTCTGTCAACGGCTATTACGTTTAAATTATAATTCGTTGATTATACTTATTTCTGTGTAATATTTCGAAATTTGCTTCATAACAATTACAAAATCTGCGAAAACGATTTAAGAGGTTTTCAAAGAAGTTTTTACACCATGGAAACTGGATTTATTAAGGCAAATAGTTCGAATTTGCCGAGAATTGATTGTTTTACTTTGGTCAATTTCTTTGCCACAAATAGTGACTTCAACTCTGCTGAATTCAGAAATGTGAAGATTTCAATGTAAGTAATATACAAATAATTGTTATTTCTGCAACCGATAATGAATACAGAATAATAGTTATAGGTATTTATAAGATCGAAATATTTAAATAAACTTTTATAGACAGGAATAGAAAACATCTTTTATATTGATAGTATTTCGTTCTACTAAATCTTAAAATACATGTAAAATAGATATTTTCTTTATTTGCTTAAATTTACATAAAATAAATACATCTTGTCATTTATTAATATATAGGCAACTTACATTAAAATGATCTTTTTTCATTTATTTTAATTTATCCTGTTTTCACTTGGTGAAAGATATATTTTGGGATTGTTTTTTTTTATTAAACATTTTTTTTTACTTTTTTTAGGTCCTCAAGACAGGCATACGGAGATGATGCTGTCGGATATGTTCAACTTCGTAGAGATGCCAATCTATGCACAGTTAAGTCCAAAATTTGCCCAGAACATAAAGTTCGTAACAAACAATACTCTGCCACTATGATTGTGGATGAAGAAAATAGTACAATAGTGAGTGTTGAGTGTCATGATTGTGCTGCTTCCCAAGGAGGTTGCAAACATGCTGTAGCATTTATTATGTGGGTGCATCGCAGGAGTGAAGAACCTTCATGCACTTCTGTTGAGTGCTACTGGAAAAAGTCCCGTCTAGCTAAAGTAGGCACTACTTTAAATTGTATTACATCAAAGGAGCTCTCCAACATAGGTCCACGGACTTATATACCAGATTCCAGAGTGCTATGTGATTTTTTGAAAGAGTCAAAGAAAAGAAAAATCACGAATGTGCAATTGATGAAATACCAAGTAGATTTCACCCGTGAGGATGTTGAAATGTGTTCAATGCATCACCTGTGCTTAACATATAAATATCAGGACTGTAAAAAATTTTTGGTAAAAGCTGGCTCTTCATTAACCGAGCATATATTAACAAAAATTGAAAAATCAACACGAGACCAGTACCAAAACAAATTATGGTTTGAGTTGCGATATGGGCGGATAACTGCATCAAAATCCCATGATGTCATTAGATGCAAAACCCCTGATGGGAGCTTAATTGCCCAAATTATGGGAGGTAAACTACCTGATACTTCTGCAATGAACCGTGGAAGAAGATTAGAAGATGCTGTACGCAAAGTAATAGAGGTTAAATTTAATATTAAAATACAAAAATCTGGTTTATTCATATCCAAAGAATATATAATGATAGGTGGTACACCAGATGGTATATGTGATGACTATGTCATAGAAATTAAGTGCCCAACAAGTGAAAATACATACAAAAACTATGTGAAGGAAAAAAAACCTACAGAGAAATATTATGCACAAGTGCAATTGCAAATGTTTTTATGCGGCAAGAAAAAGTGCTATTTTTGTGTAGCAGACAGCAATTTTGAAACTACTCAAAGTGTTGATATATTCCAAGTTTATCTGGACACTGAATATGTCAATAATTTACTTGTTAGTGTTTCAGAATTCTGGAAAAGGTACATTTATCCATTGCTTTATAAAAGTGTACAATAAAAATAAAACATATTTTCCATTAAGTAATGTCTTTATTTTATAACAGTCTTTATATAAATATTATAAGATTGGTGAGTTAGGTTGGCTATCTTTTTATGATGAAGATTATTATATGAAGAAAAATTTAAATGTCTTTTATTTAATGACTGAGTCCTGCAAATTGATTAAAGCACATGCTATTATAACTACTTCATCAAGTATTCTAATGAGATTATTGTTAATGCAAGCATGAGGTTTTAACATGGCAAATTCTCTTAAACGGCGTATCACCCTCTCTATATGTATCCTTAAGCTTGCAATTTGCTTAGTCTGTCGAGCTTCTTGTTTTGATAATTTTAATCCAGTACTCACACTTGGAGGGCGAACTAACTGAAGGCCTGCCTTGAGCACCATTTGCTCTATATGTTTGAAACCCCTATCTGCTAGAATACAAGAACCCTTCTCCAAAGTATTTAAGAACTTACAATGCTCTACTACACACATGTCACTAGTCCTTCCTCCATAACCTGGTGAGATATAGTTTATCAAACCATCTGGTGTACTAGACACCAGGTATTTTAACGTATTTGCCTTTTTATAGTCAGACCATGTTAAAGCTTGATGTACAGCATTTGAGGGTTTTTGGATTTCAATTTCAAAACAATCAATAATACAACTTACATTGTGGTATTTGTGTCTAAATGCCATAGGTAAAGACCGTTTAACTGCATTTTTTTCCAAATTTACAATAAAAGGCTGCATTACACCACAAATTATTGGTACATTTTTTAAAAATATTTTACTGGCATAAGACACTGACATTCCAAAATCATCTGCAAGTTCAGAAAATTTTCTATCTAACCTAATTTTTTTTAAACATAACAATATATGTTTTTGTGGAATATTTGTGTGCATGCTTATAATATTAATTAAATAATAACAATTTTCTGGTAACCCAATATAAAACCTTGGCCTTTTCTCAATTTTACTAATAGTCATTTGCACAATTTCTTCCTCATTAATTACTTCTTCATTAACACTACTATTTTCTGAAAATAATGATACATCACTATCAGACTGTTTTTTGTTATTACCAATGCATTGCTTTGTAGATGTCTTGGCAGCACTAGATATGGATGGTACTGACTTTCTGCTAACTTCCAATTTCTGAGAGGCTGAAATAGATGTAGCAGGGATTTTCATTGGTGATACTCCCCTGCTCCTAACCTGTATTGCAGTCTGTGTGGTTTTGCTTCTAAATTTATTATGAATGGATACTTGTATTGATTGGTCTGTTGTTCTTGGTTTACACACCACAGGTTGAACCACATCTGAAAATAAAAGTTACTTTTTAGAAAGTACATATTTCAATTTATTATACCTTATTATTATACAAGTTATAACTTACATTTTTTGAGTATTGCATTTAAAAAATGGTGATAACTTCATTCCATTAGTGTGTATCACGCTGTATAATAATTTTGTTTGTAAATTTTAGAGAATTACAATAAGAAATCGATATGTTTCAGCTTTTCTTTAAAAATTTTTATATTTTAGTAAACAATGAATTCATTTCATTTTTTATGGACACAGTGTATAAATCAACTTGTATAAATATTATTTACCTGTACTTGAGTTTGCATGATCCTCAGCTATGGAAATACATTGTGTAGGGTAAGTTTGTTTTATACCTCTTTCACATTCCAATATTGTTTCCAATCTTTGTCTTTTGACTACTAATTGTCGAGTTGTTGCTTTTTCAGTTCGTCTTTTTCTGTCAGGTTGACATCCAAACTTTGATGGTAAACAACCTTTCCTCATTCGGACCTGTGATACTGAGCCCATCACATGATATTCAGTATAGTTTTCCATATCATTCGGCAACTAAAATTAAACAAGTACAAAACATTAATATACCCAATTATGTTTACATCATTTCTAACCTAAAAATTACAATTTTTGTCTTAGAAAACTTTGAAAAATAATGACTTTTAATATAAAAAAAATAAACAAATAATATTAAAACTTACATCAAAGTGATCCTCACACATATACATTCTAGACTGTGTAGACACAAGTGTTGGATCTCTGCGGGCTAGCTGAAGCCACTTATTTCTGTTGTTTTGCGTACGTGGAACATGAATAAATAACTTTTCAGGTGTTTTATATGTAGTACTTGTACACTGCGGCACCGCACAATACTTATAGAACTTACAATTCATCATTTAATAGAAAATTTACGAAACGCTTTATAGAACCCTATTAACCTTTCAAGTAAACACAACATGTGACGTCACAGCGATCACATGACAAGAATTGATGTTTTGGAGCGAAATTTTAAACTGTCAACTTTCTCACAGCTAGTCAACATCCCTATTGTACTTGTGACCTTTAATTCAAAGTTAAAAACTCTTTGGATTTTATGTTAGATGCATTTGAAAATTTTCTCTGACAGTGTGATTCAAAATTTACACAATTAATTGTCCCTGTCAGCCCTCTGAGTTATTAGGATGACTTGGCCCACAGTAAATATGAATATGTGGGTGTATAAGATACCTGTGTGTGTGTTTTTTTTTTTTTGGGAAGCCTAGACTGGACTTACTCTAGCCACTTTGCCTTTTGGAAGTCAAATTATTTTTTATAAGACCTCAGGATGGCTGCAGTTTTGCTATATATAAGCTCTCTAAATACCTGGTGGATCTTTTAATAGGTTGTGGTGTGCTCAAGGTTTCTGT